AATATACAAAAGCAACTTTATATACAATGAGAAACTAGAACAAAAAACCTTCAATTTTAATAACATCAAAATGATAAAATGCTTAGAAATATATTTAATGAAAACTATGTAGCATCTGTACTCTCCAAACTACAAAATATTGTTGAGGGAAGTTAAAATTGACCTTAATAAATAGAACGATATATCATGTTCATGGATCGGCACACTTAATATTAGAATGACAATTCTCTCCAAATTATTTTACAAATTCAATTCAATTTCAGTCTAAATCCTGGCAGGCTCATTTGAAGGGACTGACAAACTGATTCTAAAATTTGTATGGAAAGACGAAGAACCTTAAATGGTCAAAATAATGTTTAGCAAGAAGACAAGGTAGCAACAAGCACACCTATTGCTCAGATGGTTTCTATGCCATCTTCCAGTCAAGGGAAACAGAGATCCTTGAAGAAACTGCTAATTCTAAGATGGGAGCAGGAAATACTCAGGATGAGCCTAGGTCGTCTTTTAGTGGCAGAAAGTAAGGAGGAAAAGCAAAACCATTTAGGGGGCATTTCAAAACCATTGAGGGGGCACAGGAGCCAGCTGAAAGAGCTTTCAGTAGCCAAAGCTGGAACAATTTGAGCAGCAAGGTATGCTGGATTGTAACCCAAGTAAAGTAAACATCCAAGAGTCCCTACTAATTTAATACATGATTGAGTAAATTAACAAATAGGGAAGAACAGACAACTCTCCTGTGCAGAAGAATTCTAAATAATTATGTAGGTTCAAAATCATGGACTTTGCAGCAAACTGCATGTAGTTGGGGACTATCATACTTAATGATCTATCACAGGAAGAAAGAACTGAATACTGCATGTTCTCACTCACAAGTGGGCCATGAACATTAGTCACATCAGCATAAAGCAGAGATCAGCAGTTGTTGGGCACTTCTAGGGGAGGGAGGAGGGTAGCAGGCACGTAATAACACAGATGGTACCTGGTCCTACATCAGGGGAATGAGGGCCAGTTGGAGGCCAAGACTTCACCTGCACGCAGCCTGCTTGTGTAGTTAACCTTTATTTGTACCTCACATCTCTATAATAAAATAAAATAAATTTAAAAATTTTTGTAGATTCTGTGTCCCTAAGGAGAAGGAATCTCTTTACTCCTTAGTGTGGGCTGTGCGTGCCAGAGTCTTCCTTTCAGAGTACAGCATACAATGGAGGAAAAGTAACTTTGCAGTGACCTGACAAACACTGCTTCATCCAGGTGACCAATATCCACAGTGAAACTATGTGTCTTTAACACGATGTGATGAAAATGTCATTTGATGCCTGTGGACTTCCACCTCCAAATCCATGACCCCAGTGTAATCATGAGGAAGACGTCAGATAATTTGCAGTAAAGGGACATCCCACAAAATACCCGTCCAGCAATTTTCAAAATTGTCAAGGCCACCAAAAAACTAGAAAAGTCTGAAAAAGAGTCAAGCTAAGAGGACTCTAAGGACACATGAAAACTAAAAGTAGTGTGGTTTTCTATTTGAGATCCTAGAACAGAAAAAGGACATTAGGTGAAAATGGAAGAAAATGGAATAAACCATGGGACTTTGGCTAATAATAGTGTATCACTACTAGTTCATTAATTGTAATGGCTGTACAATACTAATGTAAGAAGTTAATAATAGGGGAAACTATATGAGGGAAATATGGTACCTTTATGCTAATCTCTTAATTTTCTGTTAATTTAAAATTATTCTTAAAGTCTATTAAAAAACAAGTAAAATTGGAAGACCTATCCCTACTTGATTTCAATATTTATTATTAAACTACGATATTAACTACTGTAAATAAAGAGTGGTATTGTCGTGAGAGATAAATAGATAAATAGAACAGAACAGAGAATCCACATGTAGACCCTCATGTAGAAGGCAAATTGATTTTTTGACAGGGGCGTCAAGGTAATTCCATGTGGAAAATATAGTCTTTCAACGAATAGAGCTGAAACAACTTGTCTTTGGGGAAAAAATGACCCCTAACTCTCATTTCACTTCCCTAAATTTTTCCTTCACTTAAATCTCCTACTTCTCTCAACTTGAGATGGTCCATTGACTTAGCATAAGCACAGAATGTACAAAACATCAAGCTATGAAAGGATGGATAGTGTAGTGGTATCGACCTTAATACATGGCATCTCAGCCAAACTTGATGATGGGCAGAACACATGGTACTTTTTGTTCACTGGCAAATTGAATCCTCAGACAACTGTGTGAGGCATGTGACTTTTGCCTCATTTTATAGATGAGGAAACGGACTCAGGTAAGTTGTTGCTCCAGGTTACACAGCAAGTGTGGCAGATGTTGTTGGTGCCTGTGTCATATCCCCGTGGTCCTCCCCCCCCACC